CCTGAGAAAGCCAGGGAGCCTGGATCTCATCAGAGGAGCCCTGGCTGGTCAGTGCCTCCATCAGAACATAGAGGGGACCAGAGTTTTCTTGGGTGGGGGGCACAACACTGCACGTTGTAGCAGCAGAACCCCGGCCACCTTCCAGCAGCAGTGGGCATGGTTTCGGTTTGGGGCACCTTCATTTCCTTCCTTCCTCTCTCCCTTCACACCCTCCCTCCTTCTGTCATCCGTACCCCCCTTCCCTTCCAGATCCCCCTCCTCAGCCCCGCCCCCGCCCGCTTCCTTCCTTCCTTCCAAAAATGTTGCTATTTATTTGAAAACTGTCAGACAACCAGACGTAATTGGGATGACAGAAAGCAGAGGTCCCCACACTTGAGCGGGGGCATGTGGAAGCCCAGATGGCTGCCTCCCCCCAGGTTCTGACTCAGGGGGCCCGGGTGGGGCCTCAGGTGCTGCATCTCTGATAGGTCCCCGTGAGGCCCCTGCCCTGGGAAGGACACTGTGACAGCCATTGGTTTAAAGAGCCCACGTCCCACCTCCAGCCCCAACAACCGTCCGCTTACAGCCATGTGGACCCCAGCGTCCCCACCCAGGTTATGTGAAGGCAAATCTGAGCAAAACCCTAGCATTTCATCCTCAAATATTTGAATGTGCATCTCAACAAGGATGGTATTGGGCAGAGGAGGGAAGGTTCAGGGCCCAGACCTCAGGCTGAGGGGACGAGCTGCGGGCTTGTGGCCACCGCCTGCAAGCAGGGGAGAGAGTGGCCTAGGCCCCTGGGGCCATGCAGCAGGCCCCTGGTCAGGAGCTGCTGGGGACCAGAGCCTGGAGAGCCCGCAGAGGTCGAGAGCGAGCTTGGGCGAAGTCGTCAATGGAGCGGCCAGCACATGCCCACTGACGGCTGGCTGGGGGGTGTCACGGTCCTGTGTCTAAACTGTTTTTTACACCCCGAGCAGTTTATACTTTGTCTCCTAAATTCCATAGATCCGTCTGCTTTCCTTCATTCGTGCCATCTCCCTTGAGTTTGGGGACTGGGGGCGGGTAACACAGAGGCCATACCCCAACTCCAAAACCCCCGGGCCTTGGAGGTGGGAGGTGTGTCCAGGTTTTGGTGAGCATCCTGTGCATGTGTCTCAGGGTGGTGGCCAGGTGGGGTTCTTCTCCAGGGTTGTCTGGCCTCTGGGACCACGTGGGTCTCTTTGGGACCGCGGGCCCCTGACCTCCCGCAGTGGCCTCACAGCTGTGCCTCATCCTTGGCCTGCGGTTCAGCCAGCCCCACCCGCTCATGTTCACGGGCTCGCCCATCCGCCCAAAAGCAAAAAGCAGTCTCTTCTCACTTGCTGGGGGCTTCCCGCTGCCCTCCCCGCTCCTGTTCCTGCACCAACTTTTAGCCAGAGAGATCTTTCTAAGTCAAAAGTCAGGCCCTGCTGTGTTCCTGCTTAAAAGCCTTCAGTGGTTCTACATTCCTTCAAGATAAGGTTCCAGATACAGGAGCTGAGGGCTGGGCCTGGACCCCAGCCCTGGGGACTTCCCGCCGGGGCCACATGCCCTCATCCCACACTCCCTGGCCCTGGCTCTCTCCTCTTTGCTCCTCAGGGTCTGGCTTAGGGCTCTGTCCCCTAGGAATCCCGCCTGACACTAGCATTGGGTTAAGTTCCCTCCACCCCTCCACCCCCACTGTAGCACTAGTCCCTTGTTCATGGTCACCAATTGCTTTGTCTGCATCCCAAGACTTTCAAACCGCACTTTGAAAGTCCTTCCCGGGCCTTGGGCAGTGCGGTGAGTTCCTGTGGCCGGGCTGGTGACCTGGGCTGGTGACCTGGGCTGGTGACGGCTGGTGAGTGGTGGCCCCCTGCAAGCCAAGTACAGAAAGTGAAAGTAGCATTTGGAAACTCTCAAACCCTCTGACATGGCTGTGACCTCAGCGTGCAAGTGTGTATTTTACACAAGTGTCGACGGTGATGGATTTGCCCTGCACCGAGGAAGCGCTGGCCTGAGGCCCACTGGCCCCTGAACCGACAGCAATTGGAGGGTAGGGCCGGGCTCAGGCGACTGGAGGGGATGAATTTGGGTTTGCATGTCACCGTGGCGGACCATTGCCATCTTATAATTTTGTTCATGTAAAGACTCGCCCATATCAGATGTACTCTCACGTGAGTGATCGTTATCTCCTGTGCTCCGTGCCGGGCTGTTTCATGTTCTTGGCAATGTCGTGTCTTAGGATGAAGCGTGGTGAGGACTCCCGCGCTTTTCTTGGAGGCATCTCCGGCTGGCGTTGGGGCTATTCTGCTGATAGCAGCCTCGCGCTGGTGAAGTTGCCTGTGCACAGGTTTTGTGCTGCAGCACAGACCCCCAGGGGCCTCGGGTCCTCGGCCAGAGCCCCACAAGCATGATCCTTACCTCCTGCATCCTGAGCGCTTGGCTGTCCGCGTGTGAGTCACGTGGGTGCTTCACGGGGCGGCCATGGCCAGGATTTGAAATTGCATGGAACTGCACATTTATCTCCTGTCTAAATTATCATCTGTGGACCAAGTTGATCTGTCTTTGAGATTGGCTGGCTGTGTCCTTATAAGGAATTTATTCTATAACTTGGTTTTGTTCGTGTGGTTCCTTTATCAACCAAGCTCATGTCCTTCAATCAGGGGTTGTCCTCAGGGGCGGGACAGACATGGGCTGGACGTGAGGACCAGAGGGGACGGCGGACCGAGCAGAAGCCCTCTCCTGGGTAGCTGGGGTCTGTTGGGACATCACCGCACTCCTGTCTCCCTCTGCCTCCTCTCACAGCCCCTTCCTCTTTCTTACATCCCACTCCCCTTCTTCCTCCATGCCCTCCCTTCTCTTTCCCCAGTCCCCCTCCCGGTCCCGCCCAGCTGGTGGGCCGTGGCCACCTGGTCTGAGCCAGTGTAGACACTGAGCCCACAGGCTGCTGGGCGGCGGCTGCCCTCCCTGTGAGCGTCCTCCTCTCGCTGGCCGGTCCATGGGGCTGGAGGAAGCACTGCAGCCAGTGTCATGAACCTTCCCTGCCCTCCCCTCTGGCGCTGCCCCTCACACTGTTCAGAAAATTGAACATGGCAGTGAGGAATCAAGTGCTGACATGGCTGTGATTTTGACACCTTGATTCGAAGGAACCACATGAGCTAGCCAGTCAACCGCTGACAGCTCAGCTGTGGTCAGTTTTCCTCTTAGATGAGAATTTAGAAAGAAGATGAACTTAATTCAGTACAAGCCTGGGATGGGGTGATGGATGTCCCTGACACCAGGACCCGCCGTCCAGACATGAGCCTGCCACGCGGGAGCCCACCATTGGGGAGACCCTGTGTGACTCAACACTCGGCCCCCTCACTGCGCGCTGGCCCACCCACCACCCCGGAAGCCTGGTGCCATCCCCAGTGGCCCTGTTTTAAGGTTCTTCGGGGAACAGTGGGACGGCTAAAAATACGTCTACAGATCTGGAGGAAGAATTGCCAGGGTAACCCCGAAAACTGAGTGGATGGAAGGCGGAATGTGTTTGACGCCAGGGGACCTAGACCCTGACAGGTTGTGCCACTCGCCTCCTGAATAGCGGGTGAGCTCGAGGTTGTGCAGCACGAAGCAGCGTTCAGGTGCCAGGTTCACTGGCCCTGGTTGGCCCGGGTCAGACATTTTAAATACACGCAAGCAGAGTACGGAAAAAACAGCCGCAGGCTGAAAGATAGGTTCTTCTTCAATGTAACACTTCTAACAGCTCTGGTCTTGGTCTTGGAAAAGATGGCTCCCAGCACTGCAGGTGTTGAAAGGGAAGCTGAGGGCAGCAGGGTTGTAGAGAGGTGACCAAACAGGAATTCTGGAAATCTGGGTCAGAGTCCCAGCCCCGTGCCCTCGGACATGTCTGGCAGCCTCTCCCAGCCTCCACTTCCTGCTCTGTAAAGGGAGGGATTGAACCAGTGACCCGTGCTCCCATCCTGCTCAAATGTTTCGCTTCATGCGTTAATCTGTTGTATCTTCAAAGGAAGGCAGGCTGCCCAGTCCTGCCACCTATGGGCTGGGTAACCTTGGGCAAGTTACTCACCTTCTCTGTGTCTTAGTCCCCTCATCTATAACCTGGGGATGTTAACAGTATCTACCTAATAGCGCTATTCGGTAACAGTAGCTGCTTAATAGAGCTATGCGAGGAGCACATGGCTAATATAACTAAAGCCCTTAGAATAGAGCCCGCGGCATTTGGTAAGGGCCCCATAAATGGCAGCAGTCGTCATTACTCGTAACTGCCACTACCATTGACCCTTTTAACTTGTATCTACCTAATAGCACTATTCAGTAACAGTAACTGCTTAATAGAGCTATGGGAGGAGCACATGGCTAATATAACTAAAGCCCTTAGAGCCTGCGGCATTTGGTAAGGGCTCCATAAATGGCAACTGTCGTTATTACTCGTAACTGCCACTACCATTGACCCTTTTAACTCTTAGGAGTCTGCGATGCATTCCTGTATATTCGTTAACCTCTGAACAAGGTTTTCTTTCAGTAGCATCCTTGTTACCCAGGTACTTGGAAGGGGCCCCTGGTCTATGTTCTAACACAATTTCCGGGTGTGTTTCAGGCGGAGGCCCGGCTGGCAGCGAAGCGTGCGGCCCGCGCGGAGGCCCGAGAGATCAGGATGAAGGAGCTGGAGCGGCAGCAGAAGGAGGTAATGCCGACCTCTTCCTTGGTTCTTTTCACGGGCGGTTTAATGTTAGGTAGAGCGTGCGAGTGCAGAGGCACCTGTCCATCTGACACAGCTCATGATCAGCACGCACTTGTGCCTGTGACTTCTGTTCAAGGTCAGGCCAGGGAGGGTGCATAGCACAGATGCCAAACGTGCCTGTCCCTGACGCCCGCCCGCCCGACCTGCGGGATCCGGACAGAGCCACTTGCCTGCATAGATCCGCCCAGCCTGGCTTTCTGGCTCCGCACTTCAAGGTCTTACTTCTGAGAGAATCCCGATCCTCTGAATTAAAAATATGAAAGAAGAACAGATGATTATGTTTTTATACTAACTAAACTGTTTTGTTTAAAAATGTTTTTACACTTTTTTTAAATTAAATCTTTATTGTGGTTTTACACTTTTTTTAAATTAAATCTTTATTGTTGAAAGTATTAGATAAGTCCCCTTTCCCCCTCATTGACCCCTTATAGTCCTTGCCCACTGCCCACCCCAGGCCTTCACCACCCTGTTGTCTGTGCCCATGGGTTATGCTTATATGTGTACAAACTCTTCCCACCACCCACCCTTCCCTGTTTTACACTTTTTAATAGTTTTCATGAAGCCTGAAGCCCGAGAGTAGTATAGAGCACAGAATAAACGCCATGGATGCAATAGCCAGGGAAGAAATTGCGCCCCCTCCCCCCCGGGAGAGCGGATAGTGATGTGTTTACACACCTGTGAAAGGTGTTTGCTATTATTTTCATAATCTCGAGCTGGAGCCAGAAGTCATGTGGACAGCTGAGGGCTCTCTACCTGGCAGTTAGAGCTCTGAGCTTTTCCAGGGCTTTTCCATGACCTTGAGGTCATTGGGGAATGAGGGCGTCCCTCGCTGGGGGACCAGGGGACCCTGTGGGCCACGCCCTTGGAGACCGTCCGCCCCAGGCCCCACCGAAGGCTCTGCTTGTTGAGAAAATTTGAGTGTGGTGTGTTGGAAAGAGCCGGCCAGCTGCCTTCCCCGGGGCTGGTTTGCGTACACAGTCCTGTTTGGTTCCCACAGGCAAATTATGAAAGTCCAGCCGATGTTTTAAAACTTGTGAGATTTCAGGAAGAAAAAATAAAATCTGGATTTCCAGTTTCTCTTAAAACCATTGCAGATTCCGCACTTTCCTGTAGGGTGAGGCTCCAGACATGGGTGACCCGGGGTCACTCTCTGCCTGAGGGGACTGTCACTCCCTGTGGAGGTGTGTCCCTGTGGGAGGGGCACGGCCAGAGGTGAGTATGGGGAGGAAAACCTTCCTTGTGGTTTGAGGAATCGGTAGAAGGTCATTAGAAACTCAAGCGCAGATGTCCGGGTCCCTGAGAGGCCGCGCCCCACGCAGCGTGCTGGGCAGGGACTGTACTGTAGTGGTGCTTGTGCTGTGTTTCTGTGTGAATATGGGCTCAACAGGTGTTTGAAAGCAGGTCACCACGTTCCCCTCTTGTTGGAAATGCAAATACAGTTGGAAGCAAGTTCTGGTGTCCATGATACTTGACTCTGGAATTAACTGAGTGCTTTCATGGTTTGTACTTTTTTCTCTTAATTCACTGGAAGAAGCGTGGGTTTAGTATTTTCTCAGTGCCCTGCCCCCTAGAACTGCATTGATCAGTTTTAAGTTGGAAATAATGATTCGGACTTTGAAACTTCCTGAGGCCCGATGATTCTCTGGAAGCACCTTCCTGTCCGTTATCTCGGTTGAGGGCAAGGACTGGAACCTGATCAGTACCCGCCCACGAACTCGGGGTGGGGGAGGGGGGTGAGCCTGACCTGGAGTGACTCTTGAGGTTCATACAAAGAAGCATTTTCAAATCCGAAGTCAACTATGTGGGCCGGGACGTGGAGAAAGGAGCAGGTCTTGTTGAGCAGGCCCTCGTCACATACCTGAGAGGGTGTCGCCTGAGCTTAGGAGCCACCCTGACACCAGCAGCCTCTGCCCACTCGGACGGACTCTGATATACATCACAGTCATTGGACGCCGCCCAACAGAATAGTTCTTTTAGCCTGAACTAAAAGAGCTGGGTATTTTAAATGACAAGTTGCTTTTTCAAACCACCTGGTGTCGATGTCCCTTTGAATACTTCTGTTCATTCAGTAGATACTTGCAAGCCCTGGGAGCCCCTCCCCTCTGCTCTGGAAATCAGAACGGCAGCAGGGGGTCAGGGCGCTCCCTGGTGGGCAGTGGTCATCTGGGCAGAGGGCCTCAGAGGTCAGGGTGCCCACACGGTGGGCAGAAGCCCATTCTCAGGATACATCACCATTTGTGGAGGCAAGTGCCAGTACCAGGAACCTCCCACCCTCTCGGTGGCTAATGGTTTTGATTGGCTTTTCCAGTTCTCCAATAGTTCCCAGTCCTTTTTATATCAAGGTCTTAAAAGAGCTCTAAGAAGAATTTGTCCCAAGTTTTTGTTGCTGTGCCAGGTTTTGCCACGGTGATTGAGTTTCAACACGGGATCTCCCCTCCTCCCTGAACTGTCCCCTGAGCTCTGTTATTGGGGCTGAACCAACAACTCAGGAGAGAGGGGACAGTGAGCCTTAGGGGCCCGACCTTCGGTGTTCGTGGTGGTGTTAGTCATCGTTTTTATAGCTTTTCTCACATTTAAGAGAAAGTGACTTTCACCAAGTATACAGTGTAACATTTGTACAAAATCAAGATGAAAATGAGTTACAATGTATGTCAAGCATGTCAAACTCGTGGCCGGCGGGCCGCATGCCTTAACCCACCCACTGGGAGTTTGACATGCTTGTGTGTACATATCTGTCTTCCAAATTACACATTTAGATGAACTCTATCCTCTCCTTAATTACAGACCGAATTAATTTAAATGTGCACTTGATAACCTAAGCAGGTTCTTGCAAAGTTCTTTGCAAAGTTCTTGATTTAGAGAATAAACATGAAGTGGAATTAAGCCAAGAAACCGTGTGTTTGAATGGCCTCCTTTAAACACCCAGCCCTGTTTCTCTGATTGAGTCAAAGGAAGTCGTCTTCTGTTTCATTTTAATTCTACAACCCAAGGTAACCCTGCCTGTTAAGTCCCGGCCCTTTAGTTTTGGTAGTGCGAAAGGGGCCTCGGTGGCTGTCACACAGGGCCGGGCACCCCGAGGACAGCGGGGGCCGGCACCTGAGCGTTTACAGGGCCCAGGGCCCGTGAAGCCTGGCCTGCCCTCGGGTGTTTGGTACTTGCTAAGTATCTTGGGCTTTGCAGAGAAAACCTGGGAAACCCGATTAAAAACGCCACCGTTGCCTCCCTTAGTCATACACACACGTCTCATTTGGTCGGTAGATGGCATTGAGATTTTGAAATTCCTCATCGTGACGGTGGGTTTCACTCCCATTGGAAAGACTTCAGTGGTTCACAGGGGCCAGAGGTTTTTGTCGATTCAAGCTCATGGACGTCTCACACGAAGGCAGTCTGGTCATTTGAGTCCTCTGGGCACTCCGCTCCCCAGCAGAGTGGGATTGAGCCGTGGGAGGAGCGGGAGGGGGCGTGGCCTCCCTGTGAGGAAACACCTTGGGTCACGTCACTGTTTATCTGTCCCGTGTGCATCGTGTGTCTGTCCGTGCTCACACTCCTCACGGACGGGCAGGGACACCGTGAAGACGCCTCCTCTGCTGAACTTGAACTCCCACTGGGGTCGGGTTGCAGGCCTGGAGACCGGCCCCCACGCTGTGAGTGGTCGGGTTGTGCAGTGACAACCAGTGTGTGTGTTCAGGGGGAAGGGGAGACAGGGACTCGGGTCAGCACAGCCCGTGGGGACCTTGCATGAAGGCAGCCGAGAGCGGGAAAGCCCAGTGGCACCTGGCAGGTGAGCCCAGAGCCGGGCAGGGGTGCAGGGTGGGGTGGAGGCCCGGCTTCATCCTGGGGTTCATGGCCATCACATGAGCCCAGCAGCGCTGACTTACACGGGCGACAACTTTGCTCTCATGCATGCAGGGCCTTTGGAGTAGGAAAGATCACACTGAAAGTGTACATTTGAGATAAAACAGGTGTCTTTTACTGCTAGTCCCCGAGAACTGGGTGGGGCAGAGGGGAATGGCAGGGCCATCCTGGAGCCCGGGGGCACCGTGTGGCAGCGCTGGGCTGGGGACTGTCGCTCACGGGCTGTGAGGGGGAGTCTGAGTCTTATTGGCAGGTGAGGAAATCAGGCCTTGGAGAGGCGGATGGTTTTACCCGCAGCCAAGAAAATGGCCAAGATTTCAATCCAGATCTGGAAAAGCTGCAAAGCTTGCAGTCTTCCCAGGACACCCTCTGCCTCAGAATCGGGGTATGCTCAGCAGTGAAAGCAAACAGAAACCGAGGGCAGAGTCGGCACGTTAACCGTGGGGTGAAACTGGCGGTGAGCGTGCCGGCACTCGAAGCCAAGGGGGCCGGGGGCGAGCCGCACAGTCCCCGTCGTTTCGCAGGGGGAAGCACACCTTGCCAAACAAGTTCTTCCCTTGGTGCTGAACTGAAGGAACAGTATCATCCACACAGAATAGGCCATTTTATTAACCAGTCTCACAGAGAACAGGGAAGCAGTAGCTGCTCTCCTGCTGTTTCGTGATCTGACCACGTCCGGGAGTGAGGAGCGTGGGGTGTGCCTGTGAGCGCCCTCCATAACTGGCCTCGTCACCAGTTCAGATGGGGAGAGCTGACTTCCTTAGCTTCGCTCTGGGGGCTGTTTAAGCGTTGTGAGGATTTGCTAAGGAAGAAGATATGTAGATACTCTTTGGGAAATCCAAGTGAACCTCTTATTTCCCTTGAGGACCTACACTCATAGGAAAACAATGGTGAAGTCCTAACGGAAACAGTTAGTTGGGGATACTGTGTTTGAAATAGTCCTAACGGTGAGTGCACACACCTGTGCTCGCCCATGTAAGGCTAGAAATGCCAAGTTTCCAGTCCTGCCGTTTGGCAGTGCCTTGAACAATGCCTGACTCAGTCCGGGTTTCGTAGGCTGAGTGAGTGAGTGAAGCAGGTATCTCTTACCTAGTGATTCCTACAAGATTAGGAGAAACCTCTGAAGCAAACTGCTGTGTCAACGTATGATAATAGGCTTTTCAAAGATACATTTCAGTTATATTCTAGGGCCTCTCTGCTTAGCTGGAGGTTTCCTGGTGTTCTGTCTGTATCCACCGGAGAGAGAACAGGAGGGCACCGCTCTTTACGGTTTGTGGGTTTGACCCATTCGCTTTCTGATCAGGTTTCTGTACTTTTTTGTTACACTTTTATTGCTGTGAGGAGAAATTTTAAATTGAGGACGAAGTCCTTTGTCCCATTCATGGTAACAGGTTACAGACTTCTGCCTTAGAGTAATACCAGGATTCTCATGGAGACTCAGGTGAGCGCGCCGTGTTCTACTGATAGATCTGTAACGAATGTCAGATAAGTTATGAAATGACCAGTTCTTTCAATGAGACTTCAAACGTTTTTTAATTCATACTTTACCAATTAGTCACAGTCTCCCCCCTCCCCCAATGTACCTCTACTCATATATCTAGGTACTTGTAAAGCCTTTCTGTCTGATGTATCTGCTTTTTAAATTGGATTTTATATTTCTCTTCCTGTTTCTCTTGCCTTCTCTGTAGATCTATCAGGTCCAAAAGGTAGGCTCTCCGTTCCTGGTTTTCTGTTTGCATGCACTGGTTTTCTCCTGCCAAGGGCCTGGCCGCTTTTCAGAAATAACGCCTTTCGCTGAAAATACATAAAAGTCCTCACTGCTTCCCTCGCTGCTTTGTGCGTGAAGCGACTTGAACAGGATGCTTAAGTCCCCACCTCTGTGTCTGCGAAGAGCAACTCTCCTCGGACGCATGTGTGTGTGCTGAATGCTTTCCTCATCTTCGTTTTTCTCAAGAAATCAGAAAACTGTTTCTTTGAGGGGGAAAAAATGAATTCTAGGACAAAATTAAATCACATTTCAGAATTTGGGAAATCCTCTGAAATCAGGTATTTAAAGGGAAAGATTATCCTTCCATATAATTTTATTAGAAAACGTTAAAAACATCAGTACACATTACCATATGTTAAGAGATTATTACCTTACTATTAAAAATCCTGAGTAGAAAAGAAAATGATGACCTAACAAAACAATTCTGTAGCTTCCTGTCAGCCTGCCTCTGTCCTAACACTGAGAGGGCTAATGTGTGGCTGTTTCCCAGTGTTTTGTAGAAGCAGCCGAGGTTCAGAACTACATGCTCTGAGCAGGCCAGACACGGAAATTAAAGAGAAAAACACCAGGTGCATGACCCCTGCCTGATTCAGCAGGAATGAAGGGAGGAGTGAGAGGTTCCCTGGGAGTTTATAGAGTTTATAGAACGTGTACACAGTCTCCCCATAAATGGGTTTCGTTTGTTACATATGACACCTATAGTTTCTTTTTATGCACTTACTCACTTTCTAGGTAAAGAACAACTATGTCTTTCTTTTAGAGCAGCTAATAATTACATTTAACTTCAAAGGTTAGGACGTGGGGGCCCTTTCGACACACTATTTAAAGTGCTGCCCTTGAGTTCCTTCACTACCTACAGCCCTGAAATGCCTTCCTGTCCTGCCCCATCCCCGTCTGCATCAGTACCACCCGGAAGAGGGTAAAGGCATCAGTTAAGTAGGCACCAGCATCTCTGTGTACTTTGTTAGATTTTGTGGGGTCTGAGAATTAAAATGTGACCTGAAGCTAGAGCCAGTCACACGTACAGTCTCGGGGCAGAGGCGGCAGGTGAAAGGAGGGCGGGAACCCTGGCTGTACCCGACAGAGCAGGCATGACTGTCCTCATACCGACACAGGAGACGGTCGGCTAGCTGCCACTTGGATTCACTCATTCGCTGCTCGCCCGAGATCGCTATTGTTTTCTTCTCACTCACCCACCGGTTAGAACTTGGCCAGAATGGAAATTTGTATGCGGAGTGAAACTGGTCCTCCGCGCAGAAGCAGAGACACGTTTGTATAATAAAGATGGGTCCAAGGTCACTGCAAGGACGAGGACAGGGAGGCAGGGAGTGTTCTCTCCAGCCTGTTCGGCTGCTTGGAGTGATGGCTTCTCTTCTATGGAATCAAAGCTATTTCTGAAAGCCAAGCACCTTCTGCGTTCGTCCGGCCCTCCCTTCCCCTGCATGACTCACCGGCTAACCCTACTAGTTCACCTCTGAAGTGCGGGGTGCTTGCTGGAGTCCGCTGTGCTGGCCTGCGAGCTAGCGCCAGGGCAACTAGCAACTGCACTTGCTGTGGGTTTCTGGGGTCTCCCCCCCTCCACGGGATGACTCGGAGACACAGCGAGAGTTACAGCCGCTGTTTATCAGGCCACCCATGAACTAGATGGAAGGCTTTGGATACTGGTTCTCGTTTTTATCATGAAAAGAGCAATAGGTAGTGTGCAGGACTTGATGTAGTATTGGCAAAAAGAATAATAGGAAAACTGATCATAGAGACTACTTTTGGGATTTAAATCATATTTTGTGAACTTATATAGGCCCTTCTCCTTTTTAAAAACCCATTTCCTGTCTTTATAATTAAGCCATAAGATAAAGGAGGTCGATGGCATTACATTATACTTAACCTGGAATCCAGGAGTGAGAGTTGGGCTAATATTAGTTGAATGCACAATAGCTTCAAGCTGTTGGATTTTACTTAATTTGATGTTAAAACGTGACTGGGAAGTGTGTAATTGTCTTTCCTGTCGCGATTTATAGTCTAAGGCACATCACTCATAGAAAAAGATTGGGCTCGTGTACTTTTGATACTGCAGTTCTGTACTGGTTGAGTTTTTAAGGCGTTGCTAAATTCTTCCTCCCGATTTTTCCTCTTCCAATTCTCCACTTACACCACCTCTAAGCGAAAGGGGCAAGGCCATTGGGGACCTTAAACCTGGCCGCCCTTCGAAAGAAACGGAGACTGAACCCACTGTAGCAGCATCAGGTGGTGGTCCCTGTAAAATAACCCCAACAGTTCGTTTTACTTCTCACACCTATTGTTTACCCTTCTGATGAGAAGGTTTTACTGTGTAAAGAGGAAAATCACATCTACGTTACAGAGGTGTGGTTGGTTGTTCCTTGATTTTCTCTTTGGAAATTCAGGGCAAAGAGAAGAGTAAAACCCCGTTCTTTAAACTGTACCTGGGGTCCCCCTGCCTTTGGAATTGTTGTATCTAGTAACAGGGACAGCCGGTCTGAATCTGCTTTTCTAACTTGGACCGCCGTAGTTTAGACAAGCCAGGTGGAAACATGGAGGCATTCGCTACAGAAAATCAGAACGTAACTTGCAAACATTATTTGTTCCCGGTACAAAGGCCTCCCCCTCCGTAGCTGTAAAGACACCCAAAGTTTGTAAGTTCAGCATGGGTATCAGAGAGCAGGAACAAGTGCGCCAGAAATCGGGGGGTGATCACAGTTGCCCCCTTTCCGCTACATTTTCTCATTCCTGTTGTGGTGACACAGGACTGCTGTCGGCCTCCGCCCCTCGGAACCAGTACGGGGGCTGCAAGTGCTGTGGCTCAGTGTCCATCCTGGTCTCTAGGCCCCCTGGGCCCCAGGAATGCATCGTCCTGGCTCCCTGGGCTTGCAGGTGGGAGCGGGTGGGCGGGGTGTGTCCCAGCTCCGCTGCCTCACTGCTTTGTCTTGGCGTGTTCCCCGCACCATGTGGCCTGGGCAGCAGCTTGGGAATGCATGTCACACAGCTCCCTTTGCATTTACCATTTCCCTTCTCGCCTAATTGTCTTTCCTTTCTGTCCCTAGAAATATTATGGGCTGTACACGAAATGGGGTGACATCGAACAGTGGATGGTAGGCCTTGGATACGATTTTAAGAAACTTGCATGGTTTATAATTTGATTGTTACACAGTTTAATTACATAAATAGATTCCTGTTGCACCATAATTTAATCCCCAGAGGTTTCCTGCCATTCCTCCTGCGTCTGGCCTGGTTGTTTACCTCCCGGCGGAGGCCTGGGTAGGAGGGCCCTGGCCAGGCCTTCGGTCTGGTCTGTGCAGCTGACTCCTGGAGAGTCCAGGCCAGTGTCTGTGGAGGTCAGCGCCCCCCTGGCCTCCTGGGGCAGAGTGCTGTCCACTAGGGACACTCGGGCCAGGCGTGTGTCCCAGGCGTGAAGACTCACCCATTTCCATCCTACCTCCCGGGCTCCGGTTGGAACCCAGAGGCCACATTATGCTCCATTTCCTTCTCTCACTATTGTCGTCGGCTGGCCGGTTACCCTCATTCCAACCTTTACCTGCCCTCAATGTTTGCCCCGCCCCCACCTCACCCGATATTCCCACTGAAACCCCTGTTCTGTGGCGAAAACATTCCTGTACCTTCTCACCATTTCCTAGAACAGCTTCTCTATCCTCCTATGTCAGTTGAGAGCTAGCTCGCCCCTACCCTGTCTTAGGACCCTCACAGGAGGGTGTGGGTGGCCCACCGCCCACTGGGTGCTGTCCATGGTCCCGAGAGGACATGGCTTCTCCCATCATTCACCCATGCACCTGAGTGTGCCCCCTCCTCCTGTCCTTGTCACCAGCCTCCTGGTCATTGTCACATACCTTTAGCACTTGAGAATCTGGCCAGTGTGGAAATGTCCTGCTAAATATCCCTGATACATAAAATAATCTAAGGAAACATAAAATTTCTTCCTAACATCACAGGTGCCTGCATAAAATACGAAAGGCAGTTCTGGAAATATAAGGAGCACACACTTCCACTGTTTAAAAAATGGTGAACTACAACCTTCACAGTGTGTGAGCCATCGTTTTAGGCTTGGGTGGCACAGGCAGATGTCCTTGTAGCCAGTCTCAGGACACTGTTGAAAGGGGTCGTTGGTTTCTGTGCCACCGAGGAAGAGAAAGGCTGCTAGTTATCGTTGTGAGCAGCTCCGTGCCGGCTTCAGGGTGCCCCGGTGTGGAAACTGCATCTGGGAACGCACGCAGTACACCAGAGAGCGTGCGTCCTTATGGCTCTTTCACGGACATGGTTTCTCTTCTGACCCCCAAGGGGAGGAGAGCAAGGTTCTGAATATAAGAAAAAAAAGTGGGTGGGTTGACATGGACCAGACTTTAGAGGTTAGAAAAAAATTAAGGCTCGGCTTCCCCTCCACCACACACTTGTTTTGAAAGCCAAAATGAAATATGCCAATTATTCACATGCTTCAATACCCCCCTTTGGAAGAAAACATTTCTCGCCGGCAATTTAAGTGAAGCCTCTAAGCAAAGGCAGAGGAAATGTGTGCCATTTATATCAGGAATACTGTGCGGAGGCATAGCTGGACTGTCAAAGCCTCCCTGTGTCTGTCTCTAACCTCACGCTCTCTCCTCCTTTGCTCTCTCCTCCTTTGGTAGGAAGACAGTGAGCGCTGCTCGCGCAGATCCAGAAGGAACACCTCGGTTAGTACTGCGTTCATTCACTACTTAGGCGTTAGGATGGAAATCTAATTTGTATTTTTAGTGATATATATATCACTAAAATATATATATATATATATTGCCTCAGTCATGTTTATTAAAGAAGTTAATACTGATATTATTACCTAAACAAAGACTATGAACTCAGCGTTTAGCATTTTGACCTAACTTTGGGGAGGGGAGAGTGTTTGAGAAATTTCTGAGTATTACTATATTCATAACAGTTAATGCTTCTTTTGCTATCGAATACCCACGAACACTTCACAAAATAATGTGCATCGAGGCTACGTCGTCGTAGACTCCGGTGAAGTAAATACAGCACTTTAATAAAATTAATCGAAAGCCGTATTATCTGGAAACAGCCTGCTGTAAACAGCGGCGCACAAAGCCCGAGCTGGCTTGGACCTCGGCTCAGGCCGCCGAGCTTTCCGGAGGCTGCCAGTCGGCCCCACTGCTGTGGTGTCCGGCCAGCCGCCCCCGGTCGAGAGCTGGCGTGGGCTGCTTTGTGTTGCACTGTCACTTCATGCCTGTTTCATCCTTTCTCTTGCTAGGCTTCTGATGAAGATGAGCGAGTGTCAGTGGGTAGTCGCGGAAGCCTGAGGGTCAGTAACCTGAATGCTCGCGTCTGCATGGTTCAGCTATGGCCAAGCCCTTCGCTTTTCACCCCTGCGTTCGCACGTCCTGCTCAGTACCCCTTGTAGTCTTGTAGACAATATCCAGCTGACAAGGCACTTATTTAAGATCTATGCAATGGCGGGTGTTTCCTGGCTGCTGTAGAAAGATTACACCAGCAGTGAGGGGCATAAGCATAGGCACTTGGGCTGTGTCTTTCTCCAGGAGTGGAGGTCACAGTGTTTTTGTATGTCTGTCCACATCACAGAACTGCCACATCCTGGTGAAGTTGGCTGGGCGTGGCTGGTGGGATAAAGGCGAGTGAGAAGGAGCAGGCTGCCAGTCATGTGCCATTTGCACACATGCTCCCCGGCCGCATCTGAATCTCAGGTTCAGTAACTGTCGGTGAAAGTCATTCTTAGTGATGTTTCTGCGGAGGCCGCCTGGGGGGAAGTGGGGCTGCGTCTGCTCGCCTCCAGGAAACGCTCCTTTCCTCGACTTGGTGAAATCTCTTCATCACGGTTGCTTAGTGGCTAATAAACACAACAACATATTTTCCTTGAACTTTCCAAAAATATTCATAATTATATTTGAAAAATTTGTGTGCTTTGGGAAGTGAAGTAGGGAAACTGTGTTTTTAAGGCATTGAATTAATTTGTGAGTGCCAGTTTAGTTTACCAAAGGGCTAAAACTGCCCCTCACTGCTGGTGGTCATAGGGCTCCATGCAGCCACCATGTGTGACTTAAGGACCACCAAGAGCAGAAGGCTTGTTTTAAGTCCCCATGGCAACCAAAGCAATGTCACACCTAGACTTCTTGTAGGCACTAAAAATGCCTTTGATTCAGCTGTTCTAACAGTAAATTGTGAAGGGGCTACACTGTTTCATTTCTTTGCAGTTGCCAGAGGCAGATTTTAGAGGAGTTAAAATTGCTCTAACTGCTTCAGATTTTAGGAATTACAGCAACATCTGCCGTGGAAGTTCTCTTTAACATTATGGGATTTGTGGTAGCTATCATTCTAACGTAATTCCTTTTGCAAATACATGAGCTCCTAGAAAGCATGATAAAAATATAATTTTGTTAAGATGTCCAGTATTGCCTGTTTTCTGTTTTTGTTACGTCTTACTTGGTTTTTAACTGGTTCTTGGCACCTCTCTTTTCTGCCGTTTTCCTGGTCCATCCTTACTCTGGCAGTCGCAGCCTGACCTGGAGTCTGGGGGTCCCTACGGCTGGGTGAGATGTTTGGGTGACTTGCCGTGTGATCCTAATGGTGTCGTGTGACAGATAATAACCGGCGGTGTCCTCACTAACCTCATGCGTGTTTGTCTAAAAAGCCGAGTGCATCTTTGTCAGAAAAGACACACATGCCACCCACCAGTCTCTACCTGGGGGCCGCGGGCCAGAGGCGGGTGCAGACCAGAGTGCTTGGTCTTCTCTCTGGAGCCTCCTGGGCGCCCTCTGACCCTCCTGGTTGGGTTCTGGGCCCAGACTGGCATGCACACACTGTTTGAGCACCAGCTGTTTGCCACACACTGTGCCAGCAGCTCTGAATCCCAAGGGAAAAGATGATGTCTTGCCTTCAAGGAACTCAAATCAGATCAAGAACTGTAGTTCCTTTAAAATATTAAATTTAAGGTCATTTATCTCATAAAGTCCATTGTTTTCTAATCTGTATCCATTCAAATTAAACATACAACCGGGCTCCTTTGCCAGAAAGACCCCAGTTCCAGCAACAAAAAGAAGGCTTTCAGTTCAAATTCAAAAGTATTCTCTTACGTCTATCCAGGAGTTTCTGTGCTGTCTGCTTTCCGAAGCCCATAAGCGTGAACCACACGGAAGAAAATCCCATCTCACCAGAAAGTGCGCTGGGCATGAACGTGGCTCGGTTCTGTGGTTCTGAGAGCGGGTCGCACATCCTTCACTTGGGAACTTTTCTAGAAGCATTTGTGCTTTATTCATTCTATTGCATTTCCAAATTATTTAGCAAATATCTGTGTTTAAAAATAGGTATTTTTATTTTTAAGTTGATAATGCCATCCACCCACCTAGCACCCTGGATCCCTGGAGCCTCCTAATGGGGCTGCTGTCTCCACGTAAGGGCAGGAGAACTCCGGGCGTGGGTTGTCTAAGAGATTCGAGGTCCAGCCCAGCCTTGAGGTCCAGCCACTGGGGCCTGCTGTGGACGGTGGGAGGTGAGAAGCACCTCATTAGACTGAGAAAGCGCTCTTCCCAGCGTCTCCCGGGCCACCTTCCACAGGGACGCTGGCGTCGAGAGCTTTTCTGTGACACGACCACTCTCACCACCTTTCTATTCCTTAAGTCATTAAATGTATTGGTGACACGTTTCTAGATTTTTAGCCTTTTTGTTTCCAACTGAAAGTGGATTCCCTTTGGGGCCCGGCCCAGTGGCGCGGAAGCGTGTATGTGTTGTTGACAGTCAGGAACACCTTCTGGCGCTCACTTTCATCTTCCTTTTCACTCCTTTTTACAACCAAGTTCCCGGCATCGGGGAGTGCGCGTGGGAGTTTGATTTTGCCTTTCTTCTTTTGTTCCCCATCTCTCATGCCCTTGAAGGCGAGCCGTCTTTTGCCTCGTTAGAATAATAATCTCACATTGTTCATCAGAAAAGCTAACAGTTGAGTCTCGCGTGGGCAAGTGTGAAGTTTGCGGGTGGAAGTTCGTGGGTGCTTTGCGAGCACTGAGCGGTGGTTGTGCGCTTCCTGACTAATCACAAGTCACGAGTTAGAGTGATGGGTTCTGGTGAAGCAGTAATTCTTGTGTCTTGTTTCTCCTCTTTTAGAAAATGCTAACCTGTGCATGCCCAGTGCCCTCTCTGATAGCAGTGTGTCCCCATGTCTCTGCATGTGAGACTCACCCGGGGAGCTCATCAAAATGCATGTTCCCGGGCCCCTGGGTTCCGATTTCCTGGGCCGGGGCCCACGGTCCTCAGAGGCAGCCCAGGTGACCGCAGTGCAGGTGGCCTGCACAGCCTGGAGTGCGGGAAATGATTCCATAGAACAGGCTGGTTGGACATCAGAGGTCTGACTTAAGGAAGTTCTGTCAGTGAACTTCTTATTCTGATTTTCAGCTCTCTTGACCCTACCACAGCACATAAAGCAGCCCCACCCATCAACATACAACACACAAAACCACCTGGAGGAGCATAGCTGGTGTCTCTCAGAAGGTCCAAGTGCCTGTCACTATAGAGGTGTGGTTAAGAGCCCATAGATTTGGGAATCTGTCCTAGGAATATATCCCCCATGACAGAATTCTCTTCCACCAGAAAAGGGTGTGTTCCCCAAAGCCCTCAAAGTAAGAGTTCCCTGCATGGTCATGAAAGGCCGAAAGAAAAAGGGTGATGGGTGAGAGAGGACCACTCCCCGGCCCCCACCCACCCTCTGCTCCGTGCTGCTGGCCATTAGAGAATGAGACCAAAAGGAAGACTTGCCTACAGCAGCCCGCGCTTCCTCAGCAGCAGTGGAGATGCAGTGTTTATATGTGAACCATTTTTATTCCTCACTCATGATAGTACAGTAAAGGTTACCCAGAGTGGGTTCATTTTAGCCTTCATGGTTACATTTTTTCCAGAAACTAGTTTTTAAACAGATAGCAGGAGAATGCGCCTGAGATCTGAAATGTTCAAGTCCCTGACGCGGGTTTCCGGATCACATACTCTATGTTAGTTGAGAGACGAAATGAGACTGAGTAAAATTCCTGCCCATCTCTAAACAGTTTTTCTGTTAAACTTATTTCAGAAATTTTAATATTTCCCCCAGAGTTTTCAAATTGAATGCTGAGGGATTTCTACAAACTCTGATCTAGAAACTTCAAGTTGGTCTGTTGTTGGGGTTTTTTTTAGTCGTATCAGAAGTAAATACATAATTTTATAGTCAAGGTTCCGTGAATCTGGATTTATAATCTGTCCGGAAATTCGTTTACTTATTCTGCATTGATGTCGTGGCTGCAAAATATGGGCGAACGCCTCCCCTCCCGTTTTAATCAGATCTGATCCTCACGGTGGCCTTGGAAAGTATATATTACTATGCACAACTCCGCAGCCCAGGGAGAGGGGGTCCGGGATTAAATAACCTAAGGTCACATGACAGAGCTTCTGTTTGGAATTTGGACTCGTGTCCGTGACCCCTGGTATCTCCCGCCTTTCTTGCCTGCTCTGTGCCCTGCCCCTCCTTTCTCTGTCACCAGAGCTGGTATGTCTTTGTCACTTGACAGCTGTTAATCAGCAGACACGTCCTCGTAGATGAATGAGCGCAGCTTAGACAGCCCAGCGCGTTGGGTCAGGGGAACTTGAACTGGGAGCAGAGAAGAGAAGCGGCCGGCAATACTGAACTTGATCGTTCTCATTTTCCTGGAGGACAAATTATGAAATATGTCCTCAGATTTTATTTTGGGGGGAAAATAGGAAGACTGGATGCATGAAAAACGAATGTAGAGGATGTATCCTACTATTTTTCCATGACGAACTTTTACATTTCATTATAGATTGCATAGAAGCTGTATCTGAATTTTCTGAATAAAACTTCATACTGGGCCACAATTATCAGGGACTAACCCCGAACCCAGAACTGAACACTGACTGGCTCGGGCCGAACCATGACCCCCCTTGCCTGGCAGGAAGGCTTCTTGCGCGCTGGGATTTCCGCAGCACGGCCATCAAGCTGGGAAAGAGAAGAAACTGCCCAAAAGCTACTGCGCCCAGGCCCACGGGCTTCATCCATAGGAGGGATTTTGCCTTAAGGCTCAGATGCCCTGTAGTTACAAGTGACACTGAGTGGGCTTTCCTGGGGTGCAGAGGAGCAGATGGGAGGTGGAGGCTGTCCTGGGCTCCCTTTCACCCGCTCCCCTTATACCTGGTGGTTGGTTCTTCCTTGCTGATCTGTATCTGTCTATCATCTGCCTTCATTTGTGTGCTGATGTCACTTTCTTCTTTTCTTCATTGAAACAGACAAATGGTTACGATGGAGAGTTATACGGATCACAGCCCCTGAGCAGAAGATCTGGCAGGGTTAGTACAGTACATTTGCATGGCACAGAATTCAAACAGGTTGCTGCGAAGCTTTTTAAAAATATTGCTCAATCTAGCTGCTTTTGTTTCTGTGTTACACTGGTTCTCTCCCCCCTTCCCCCCGCCACCCAGCACATGACAGAATGAGAGCTAATGTTTTTCAACTAGGAAACATTCTCAGAATGTTAGTCTTCTGACATTCTAAGTGGTAGCGTAAGAGATTCATATTGATAAGAATCCCTAGGTTTAAAAGGTCTAGAACTAAAGATTAGCTCTTTCATTATTTTATGGCCCCGTATGTGTATAATGTGTATATTATGTACGTTCAGCTTTCAAATATGCTGAAATTTGACATTTCCAACCTTCCACGTTTCTAGTTGTGATTTTAAAGACGGGCAGAGCCTGTGTTTTCCTGGATACCAGCTTTGGAGGCAGATGGGAGTCATCCTGGGGGGCTAGGGAGTGGGCGGAGGGGAGAAGGAAGGGACCAAGCAGGAGCCGGGGAGGCCTGGGCATTTATCAGGGAGGTCTCTGTGCATTTCAAAAGGCTAAACTGCCTACATTTTTAATTGTTTCATGACCTGCTGCAGATCTGTCGTACATTAAATTATGTAAACTCTTCCTGTACTTAATGTTTGCTTCACTTTCTTTTACTAGTTGTGTAACATAGTATTTCTTTAAATTTATCTTAATTATATTAAGCTATGTCATAAGTAGACTTAAGTTCTGCGGTCAGGTTTCAAAGGGGTCACCCAGCCCCACATTAGCTTTCTGAAAGGGCTGATCAAGTTTCGCCTCCTGCCTGTTAGGGATTGCATATACTCTGTCTCTTGTCCACTTTTCTCCTTCCAGACTAAGAAAACATCCTCCCGCTTACAGGCTGCCTTCCTACTTACGTGCTCTTTGCACAGACCTCCTGTGGCCTTCCTCCAGCCTGTTACATGTTTCTTTACATTCTGTCCACTCTGGGACAGAGCACGAGGCCCACCATCGTGTCCTGTAGCCTGTGCCCTGCTGGCCCTCAGGACAGGAGCCACAGGGTCTCTGAGGGCCCCAGTGTGCCCGTCGGGGCTGTATTGACTAGTTTGCAGCTTTTCACCCTCAGTGCGTCGGTTCACCGTCATTGATCACGAAGTCTTATCGTTGAGAGTTGGAAATTGCTGTAGAAGCTCTTTAGCCTAACTTCAGGCCAATATCACCTTCTCTCTAGAACATCCCACACGTGGTCGCCACGTTTTGTGACAGGACAGGGAGACATCAGGCTCCGTGTTCTACAAATACAGCCAAATATTTTAACCTCTGGTTTTTATGTTATTGGTATAAAAGTCTGCTTTATGAGTTATTAAGATTTAAGTAATGCCTCTAGAAATACAAAAGAACTTGATTGTAAAACTGTGCACCGCAGAGTAAAATTGGATATAAAACTGATTTAATAAGTAATCAAGAAGTATGATGATTGAAGAACCAATAACGTACATCTAATGCAGCAAGCAGCATGGCTGGGCAGATCCGGGCAG